TCCCCCCCCCCCCCCTTCATTCTGCCTCCCCAAAACAAAGTGCATGTCTTACTTTGGGGTGTGTATGCAAGAAAATATGGTTGTTTTGTTATTTTATATCTTATTTGTCTGTCTTAGTCCTGTCTTACCAGTATATTGACTTAAACTACATCTACTTTTTAATAGGTTTATATATGAAACAGAACACTTCAATGGTGTTGCTGAACTACTTGAGATATTAGGAAGGTAAGTTTTGTAATTTTCTGTTTTTGTATATTCCTATCTAGTTCTTCTTTTGAGAGTGGGGAGGAGAAAATTGTTCTTCTGCTTGTGAAGTGTGGTTACTGGCATGGAAGCACACTTTTTACTTTAAATTTTAGATGAACTACAAAGGATTTATTTTTAAATTGATCTTTTGACTTCTGAAGGAAAGAAGGTGGAAATGGGCTTTTTCATACTTTAAGCTTAGAAATATCATAAATAATGGTGGAGGGTTTTTTTCGCTTTGTTAAAGTATTAGTGTTGTGTCTTGGAGTATGCAGATGGTGATAGGTGTCACACCTAAATTGGAATAATGCTTTGATCTTTGGCAGATTTCTTTTTATGTAAAGTGTTTATCATTGAAGCATTATAGAGCAGTGTTGCTCATCCTTTTTTGCCTGGTGGTCTGGATGGGTGGTGCGTGGTCTGACCGCAAGCCAGATTTTGCCGGTGGTCCCAGGGTCCCATCCAGCCACACAGAAAGAGCTGGGGGGTATCCCAGCCCTGATCCAGCTGCGCAGGAGAAGGGGGCTTGCCCGGAATCCTCAGCCAAGGGTGGTGGGGAGCAGGCATGACCCTGCCCTGGTTCTGTCCCATGGGAGGAAGGGGAGGCATGGGGGGTGGGGTGGGTGCGGCCCAGCTCTGACGCACCATTTGGGTTTAGGAATTTGGCAGCAGAGGAAGATGGCAGTATTAATTGCCACTGGTTCCATTTCACCAAATTTTATGACCTGTGGGGAGTCCCATAGACCGAGTGCAATGGCTCCCATAGACCAGAGGTTGAGCATCTGTAGATTGTTCTGTAGAGCATCCCCCAACAGAACATTTAGACTAAGTCTTTTCTCCTTTTAATTGCTCAGCTATGTCAATATTTTTGCACTGGAATTTGTCCAGCATTTAGAATTTAGATCTAATCTAACCCAACAAGGTTTACCAACAAGTTTCCAGCAGCTCACATTAATAATTGTTAAAAACCGTGAGAGCTGTTGGGAGACGCAGCTTCAGCAGTGAGAACTATTTAATTGGATTTGCTGTTCAGTGGGTGCGTCTACACATGCAGTTAGTGCACATGAATAAATTCAAGTGGTGTGCCCAGGAGCAATGAACTCCGGAGCAACCAGCGCCGGACTTTATTCATGTACAGCATGTGGAGCCGGGTCAGAGTAGCCTTGTCTAGCAGGGGGCCTGGAGTGGTCAGTCTCCCAGCATGGGGCTGCTTCCCTTGGCTCCCATGTGCTACAGAGGGGCTGGCTGGGGCATGAGGGAGCTTCATTGTGGGGCTAGCCAGCAGGCAACCCCTGCACTGAAGCACCCTCATGCCCTAGCCAACCTGGGCAGCATCTGCACCTGCTGCGGAGTAAATTAGTTTACTGCAGCCTAATAACTGTGCACATGTCGATGCGAGATGTTTACTTTGTAGTGAATTAGTCAACTGTGCAGTAAACATCTTGTGTAGATGTGCTCAGTGTGTTTAATTAAAACCTTTACAAAAATTACTGGGTTTTTTTACAGGAATGTTGTCTACAGTATAAGGCTGCCAGTAATTTTAACACTGGGTGAACAGAGTCAATGAGTTTTGTTAAATTTTGCTGGTGTACACATACTGCTGTTTACTTAAGCTCGAAAGAGGACCTAAATATCTAAGGTGAAAATGAGCTGACCATTTCCCTCTAATCTTCATATAAAAAAAAAAAACCAAAATGCCAAATAAGCAATTTTTCACTATTTGTGAAGGATAACGGTATAACAATGGTATTTATCTTTTTGCAGGTCACCTTTAAACTATTTGAGTGATCAGTTTGTTCCTCTTTAATATGCCTTGCCAAATTCTATAGTTAAACTGCAAGATATTATTGAAGATTAGGGAGGGTTTTTTTGGTTTAAGGCAGGCGGGAAGCACCAACCTGATTTAAAGAGGGAGAAACGTATACATTTTACTGTAGAATTATGAAAAATCAGAGAATAACTGAACTTGCTTGCTGTGGAGGCTGGTAACTGAGGCGTGGCCTGTATTTTATGATAGGCTACAGGTAGAAGAGGAATTACTAATAGATGTATTTCTAAAGATAATTTTTATCTGTAACATAAAACTTTGAGCAGGGTCATTCTCAGTCTTCTAACTGAAAAAAAAATCAATTTTTTTTTCTTGAAAAGTGAAATAATTGGGTTTAATCATGTTTTTCAGTATTATCAATGGTTTTGCACTGCCATTGAAAGCAGAACACAAACAGTTCCTTATGAAGGTTCTGATTCCTATGCATACTGCTAAGGGATTAGCTTTGTTTCATGCACAGGTATGTTTTCAGAAACATTGTTGACTATAATGTATTTTCATATTAATCTTAAAATTCTTTCTATAGCTGGGGCAAAAGGTTGAGAGTTTAAATATTCTTTTACAATACTCATGTTAAAATTTTAAATGATTAAAAATGCTGTTTTAGTCCCTGACAAATCTAGATTGTTAATTCTGTCATAATTTTTAACACATTTTTATCAATGGAAGAGAAGAATAGTGTTTTAATGAACTGTCAACTTGAAACTGGAAATTTTTTGCCTGTTACAGCTTTGTCATAGATTAAAAACTATTTTAGCTCAGTGCTTTTGTTGTTTGTTCTTCACATAATATAAATTCAGTTTGCAAAAGAGTAGAAAGATCTTGTGTGTATGTTCCAGTACAATACAGAAAAAAAACCAGAAGCACTTTTTCTTTTCTGGGTTTAAACTGTTCACATAAAACCATTCCAATTGGTCTAGGAAATGCACATTACAAAACTTATTAAAAAGAGAAATAGGATAAAGCTGTTTGGATATCTTACAGATTATGTAGCTCTATAGAAAAAATGGAAGTCGATATTTAAAGCAGGAATTCTATCTCTTGTATATGAGAAATACTGCATAATTTTTCTAAATATACAGTACTTCAGCGCAGAATGAATATTCTGTAAAATTACAAATAAGTCCATTTAAGATGGCTCTTTTAGGCAGACTAGCCTGTGTTAGTACTTCTTGCTCAGACTGATCTTTACAGAGTAACATACTCTTTAATTTCCCTTGTAATTACCTTATTGCAACTTGGGGGTCTAGGCTACATCAGAAGAAATTGAGTTGTAGATAAGTTATTAACGATCATACCTAATTGTTATGATTATATAATTGTATAGCGGGGCAGGCAATTATTTCAGGCGGAGGGCTGCTTACTGAGTTTACTGCAGGCCATAGAGGGCCACATGACAGGCAGCCAGGGGCAGATAAATATTCATTTTCTAAATTTTTTAGGGGTCCTGCGGGCCAGATAGAATGGCCTGGCGGGCCGCATCTGGCCCGCGTGCCACATTTTGCCCACCCTTGTCTTATAGGCTGAGTCAGCTCAACAGTTCTTTGAACCATTAGGGCATCAGAGGTAACTTGAGCAGTAACCTTTCCTCTGTCACTACTTAGTATGCAAGAACTTTCTTGGTTATGTTGAGTTGGTGGTATATGAGACTGGACACATGTCAAGAGTTCTCATTGGAAGAGTGCTAGTTCAAACTATCACTGTTCTTTATTAATTCTATGATTGCATGCTGTCTTGGGCATCAGTACCAGAAAGGCTCCCTGGGGCACCTGATGCCTCATCTGTACCTTCATTCATTCATAAAATGTGGTGACAATTGAACTTGCAATCCATCACACCTTTACAACATAACCTTCTACAGTGATAAATTGTTTGCAGGTTAAGGAGCAGATTCAGCAGTACATTTGGTTTGCTTTATGGTGCTTTGAAGGTGCAAAGCACCTGTAAATGTAATTAACTACCTAGTGTGCTCTGGTTGCTGTATGTTGCCCTTATTTACTGCTGAATCTACTCATCAGGTTAAAAATTAAGTTTAATAGTACAGATAACTAAACACTGAGAATTTCATTTGGTAATACCCTATTTGGGTTTGTTGTTTTATGCATGTGGTCTGTAACTTTTAAAAGCTCAGGAACTTATTAGCTGAAAAAGTACATTAAGAGTGCATGTATCAGTGGCTTAAGACTGTTTAAAAATAATAAAGATGCACTTAACACATGAGCAAGTACTATAAGCCCAAACAATTCAGTATTAAGTTTTATACGTAAAAGAAATCCAAATGTGAAGTCTAGAAATGCATATGTAAGACACCCAGGCAACCTTAGTTGTCCTGCAGTTCATTATGAAATATGGGGGAGAAAATCTCTAATCTTAGTTTAATCCAATCTAGGTTTGTATGGTTTCAAAACTGGATGGAGTTCTTCCAGTATATTAACTGAAAAACCTGAACATATAACCCAAACTACTACAGTGCATGTACATAAAAAATTACAGAAAGGTGAGCGAGTGTAAACTTGCAGCGTCTTCTGTTCCATAGCAACTGTCTACGTACATGCTCTTACCCTTTGATAGATGGGACATTAACTTATCTTTCACTGAAGACAGGGTAAACTACCTCACATTTGCAGCAAGGTGGGAGCATTTTGAATATTCATCAGTTTACAGCCCCCGTTGTTTAAACAGGCAGTGTCAGTTTAAAATACTTAAATAACAATTTTACTTGCATTTTAGCTGGCCTATTGTGTTGTACAATTCCTGGAGAAAGAAACAACATTAACAGAACCAGTAAGTGTTTTTCTATCTCATATTTTATTTTGTAATATTAATCTAAACTGAAGTATTTCAGTTAAACTTTCATAAATTAGAAATAGCTAAACCGCTGAGATTGTGACGGGGAGAAAATCTCCTTTCTTTCTCTCTCTCTCTCTCTCTCTCTCTCCTCTCTCTTGCTCTCTTTCTTTTGCTCACTCTCGCTTGCTTGCTTGCTCTCTCGTTCACTTGCTCGCTCACTCTTTCTCACTTGCTCTTTCTCGCTGTCTTGTTCCCTCGCTCGCATGCGCTCTTTCTCACTCGCTCTTTTGCTCTCTTATTGAAATTTCTATACAGACAGAAATTTCAGTAGTATGACATTTATGTTGTGCCCCAGTTGGCAGTAGAATGAAAAGTTCAGAAACAATTTTACTGAAGTATGGATGCTTTATTTTGACAAAGCAAAATGTGTTAGCACTCCAAATTCAAAATGTTTTATTTCCCTGCTTTTTTATATTTATTTGTGTTTTCATAGCTGCTGCAAAGCTTCCTGAGAAAAGTCATTCATGTGTCATAGTCCCCTTCCCTACTGCACCCTCCCATTCTCTTCCTTGAGCCTGGGCAGTCTACATCTCTGTAATGAAGCATAGTAGTACTTCAGCTAGAGAAGAAACTGCAATGTATCAGAGGAGATACAGTCTGACCAGGCCTGCGGAAGAGAATACTGACACGAGGTATTGCCAAATATTGTAACAACATATATTATTGTTGAACCAACCAAAATGTAATTTTGTTCAGGGTATTTCAGCCCAAAAGGAAATACTTCATCTCCATTTTCCTGATATAAAATAGTAGTAGCACTTGCCTCCAGAAAACTTCAGTGGTGCAGAAACTATGGTTTTGACAATTTTCTGACTAACTCTCTTTGCAGTATAGGTTTGTTTTAAATGACTCAACAAAAATGTTGGTTTTCAAATTAGAAGGAAAATGAAATTGGTATTATTTAGACAATAATGCTGAAATGTGTGCAGCATTTGCACAACGTTACCTTAAAAAGTAAAAGATGTAGCAAATAACAAAGTCCGAGCTTCTTGGTATGTAGGGAACGATGCTCAGAGAGTTCATGACTCAAAATTCAAATTTAAAACAATAATAATAGTCTGATCTCTGTAGCTGAAGAAAACCTGAACAAGATGCAGTTCAGTGCTGTGTTTTCTTCCTAAGTAGGGTTTATATTTCTTAGTTACTGTCTTAGGCTGTGTAAATTGCTTAATTGGATTAAATCTAGATTTTAAAAGTTACTTAAAAATCAACTTTATTTCATAGTTTCATACCTTCTAGGGTCAGAAGGGACCTGAGTAGATCATCTAGTCCGACGCCCTGCCATGGCAGGAAAGAGTACTGGGGTCAAACGACCCCAGCAAGGTGTACATCTAGCCTCCTCTTAAAGACCTCCAGGGTAGGAGCCAGCACCATTTCTCTTGGAAGTTGGTTCCAGATCCTAGCCGCCCTGACCGTGAAGTAGCGCCTCCTGATATCTAGCCTAAATCTGCCCTCTGCCAGCTTGTGACCATTACTCCTGGTCACTCCTGGTAGTGCTCGGGGGAACAGGGACTTCCCCAGTGCCTGCTGGTCCCCCCTGACTAGTTTGTAACAGGCCACTAGATCCCCCCTCAGCCTTCTCTTTTGGAGGCTGAACAGGTTCAAGTCCCGTAGCCTCTCCTCATAAGCCCTGCCCTGCTGCTCCCTGATCATGCAAGTGGCCCTCCTCTGGACCCTCTCCATGTTGTCCACATCCCTCTTGAAGTGCGGCGCCCAGAACTGGACGCAGTACTCCGGCTGCGGCCTGACCAGTGCCGCATAGAGGGGGAGTACCACCTCCTTGGACCTGCTTGAGATGCATCTGTGGATGCATGACAAGGTACGGTTGGCTGACTATTTAACTGACTATTTTAGCAGGTGTACACAACAGTGTCCTACAATCACAAACTGCCTCCCTGAGTAAAAAGAAAAAGTTCCAGCTTCCCATTAGATCTTCCAGCTTAGTCTTTGATGACTTTTATGTTATGGTTGTACATAGTCAAAACAAAGAACTTTGTATCATAAATTGAATGTGGGGACAGCTTAATATGAATATAAATTTGCTGTGCTTATTGTATTTTCTGAAATTACATATGAAAGTAAAACTTTTTAAATTAAGCTGCAGTAAAATTTCAAGATTGCTTCTAACACATTACGGAATGTAGTGACTTTGTCCCAAACTTAGGTCCAGGTTTACACAGAGTATTATGTTTGATATAATGGGGGATCCACCACACCGGGGAGCTAAATTTTCTCACCAGATTCCCTAAATCCTGCTTTTATTTTAACTTCTTCAGTGTCCATGAAATACCCCATGAAATTCCCATCCTTTTCAGTATTTTAAAAAACATATAATTAAGGGGCCTCATTCAAAATATTTAGACATTCTTGGTAGATTTTTATTTTGTAGGTTGCCTGTGTCTGTGGCTAGGCTCCAACTGGGGCAGCTTAGAATCCATCCCGTTTGTACAGGGAAGGGAGAGTTTGCAAATGGCTTCATCTCTGGCTTCTCAAGCTTTTACTATTTTCCCAGGTTCCACCAACCTAGCCTTTACTGCTGGTTTTCCTCAGTGCCTGGCTGCAGGCTGGACTTCGGTCCTGGGTCCCCTGGGTCCCCAAATTGCTACGGTCATGCTCCAGGGAACGTGCTCAGAGAACATGTACAGCAAATTAACTGATTCCTCTTTTAAAAGCGGAAGCTTTAAAGGAAAGAGTGTTTGTGTGGTGGGGATGGACCCAATGATCTGTAAGGTCCCTTCCAGTCCCTAAGAACTATGAAATTACGAAAGCATATCCCATTAAGGCAAGGAGATTGAAAACAAAGGTACTTGGCTTCAAGAAAATGTCAAATTCAGTGGCAAAAGGTGGAATTCCATGGCCTCTTGAAAAAATATTAAGTGTATGGCCAGACAAATCCATAAGGCTCTGAGATGAATCAAGCAGGTTTTTTGTTTGTTTTTACCTTGGAGAGAGATGCTTTGGAAGGTCAGGGAAAGAACATTGGATTGCACATTTCTGACCCCTAGGGCATTGTGATTTTTTGGGGGGTTTTTTTAGAGCTGAAATGCTGAAACACAGTTCTGCAGCAGGTGGATTCTCCAGCTGTGTGAGCACAGGGTCTTGCATATAGCTGACAGAATTGTGCCACAGCTAAAAGGTGGGGTGGGGGGAGGACTAATTCAGGGACACATGTCAGAAAGGCAAATACATGCTAAAGGTTACATTTGTACATAGTAAATGACGAAGCACAAGAACTCTGGCTTATATCTTGCATTACTACTTTCAATGAATGTCACCCACTATCAGATGTTGTGCTTCTGCCCAACATAGGGTAGAATTTAGCTCTGTGTTTGAGGCCTAGTTAAAGTTCTAGGGAAGATGAATGGGTTCAAACAGCATTCAGCCCATCTAGCAAGAATAAATTGTAGTAAAAACATTTTGCTTCATAAATAAGCAAATGAGATTGTAACTGTATGTGGGACATATTAAGCAAGGTTTCATTTTGCTTACTTGTTTTATACGATGAAACTGCACTTTAAACTGAAATTGTTCATATGTCCTTTCCCAAAGCACTATCACTATTTTAATAGTCTATGCTTAAAAGTATTGTGTCATTCAGAAGTTGCTTATAAGAATATATAATTACATAATGCAAGCTATTTTGGGGAAAGGAAGAACTTTTTTAATACTATTGTGCAAAGCACTGCTGAAACACCATCTGGGATACTATGTACAGCTTTGGTCCTGTGTTCAGGAAGGATGAATTCAAACTAGAGTATTGAAACTAGGGGCAGAGAAGGGCCATTAGGCTCGCATTCCTCTTATGATTCTGTCTTACAAGAAGAAACTGAAAGAGCTTGGCTTATTTAGCATAGCAAAGTGAAAGCTTGGTGGGGACCTGACTGCTTTTTGTCCGTACATCAGGATAAGTAAATACTAAGGAAGAAAAACAACTAGAGGATAATTTTTGTACAAGAACCAAAGAGGTTCTTGTACAAAAATATTGGCCACAAATAAATTTAGGTTGCAAACTGGAAGTTGTCTAACGTCAGAGGAATGAGGTCCTAGAAGAGGCTATGGGCAGCAGTAGTGGGAGCAAAATCGCAATGCATTTGGGTATGTATGAATGGGTTGAATGGGTTGGTTCTGTTGACTTCCATGAGGGTTTCATGTTGGTTAAGTTTTTTATGTGTAGGTACATCCTGGCAGGATCAGCATGAAAAGTAACTATGGTCACCGCTTAGGCTAAGTACAGACAGTCAGAAAGCCCCAGGCTGAATCAATTCAATCTTTGCAGGTTTCTCTAAACTGCATAGATTGAACCAATAAGCAAGTAAATGGACACTCACTTCTGAAACTAGAAAGGCTCATACCAGTAGCCAGAGGGCAAAAGAACATGTCTCCCACCCTGCCAAACATTGCCAAAGGCACCTGAATGCAGCTGAGCAGAGCTTATCCTTGATTAGCTGCCCAGCACATGCCCCTTGCAATCCCTCCCCCCCACCCCACCCCGGGGGGAACAGTCCCTCCTGCTGGGTAGGGGAGAAGGGAGGAAAGCCCCACTACAGGCTACTTCCCCCCACGCCAGGCAAATTCTGGCTTGGGGGGGGTTTCCCCCACCCCCCCTCCTCAGCCAGCCCTAAGGCTGAGGAGGGGACGTGGCTGGGGGAATTGACCAGTTCTGGGCAGATGGAGGGAGGGAAGAAAGCCCTGCTTTGGGTCTGGTGCCAGGAGTGGGGTGGAAGTTTCCCCCATGCCCTCTCCTGAGCTGGCTGGAGGAGGAAGTAGAGGGGTGGGGCAGGCCCTTCTCCCCGGAACAGACAGCATAGCCCAGAGCTGCAAAGCATCTGGGGATGCTGGGGGTGTGTGAGTTAACTTGAACCAGGAAGGGATCTGGGACAGAGGTTCCATGAACTGGTTTGACCTAAATCAGTGAAGTCTGATACTGCATCCAACCAAGTTTATCTTAAACCAGTTTGGGCTATTTTGAAAGTGGTTTAAATGTGCTGAATTTCTGTTCTGTTACAGGTTTAAACCAGTTTCTGATCAGTTAAATCAGTTTGTGTAACTTCTATCCCTACAGTACAATCACAGCATGGAAAGAATAGTAATTATACAGATCATAGAAAAATAAAACATTAAGAAATGTAAGACCTCCAAACACAGAAAATGCAAGTGTTAAGGTTTGACAGCGAAACAGAACCCAATTTATATTTTATCAGCCTTATTAGATCAACTGATGCAGTAGAATGGCTGTCTTTATATCTTGTTGTATCTTGCTTTTTTTTTTTTTAAGTGTGGACTGACACTTAGGGTCAGTTTAGAGGACATTCAGTCTGAGCTGTTAGTGTGCCTCAGGTCAATCCTGACATTTGCAGAGCTGACAAGTGGAGTTTGTTACTGAGCCCTACTAAGCACTGTAGCCTTGAAATTTATAGAAGTCTTGTTTCTGTGAGAATCAGACCAGACATGCAATTCCTGTAAGTAACAGGAATCAACCAACAAGTATATAATGCTGTAAGTGAATTCCACTCTGCATGAAGCCTTATGACCAAAAGAGGTAGTAAGATTAGAGTACCAATTTGTGTGAAGATTTTGTCTAGTGTGAGCAAATAGCCAGTAGCTTGTATGTTAGGGTTTAGTGTCTCTTGATGAAAACAACACTTTTTAAATATGTAGGACATGCTAAAAACCTGCTCCTTGTTGTTATGGCATCATGTTTTTTTATGGAAGGTAATATTCCCTTAGGCCACACTTGTAATATTAGTCCTTGGTAAAGACATAATTACCTATTCAAGTTGAGACAGAAATGTCAAAGATAATAATGACAATTAACATTAAAGTATATGCAATGCTTTCACTAAAAGAAATGATGGAAGCTTCTAAAATTTTAATTCATCCTCAGTTTCATGCACTTGAGAACCTGATGTTAATCAGCCCATGTTCCAGGTAGAGGTATATAGCTGCTTCTTGGTATTCCTTTATATCATTTTTTGTCAAACATGAATTGTCTGACAATTTTTTGCTCAGGATGTTTAGTGGACAGAACAGGAAATCAGAATAATGAGTCGTCATACATTTGTTTGGGATTTTTGATTTAGAAATTTAAAAAAATCTAAATATCGCATATTCTAACAGTCCATAACCAAGTCAGTGAATGTTAAGCTAAGTAACAGAACATAATTAATGACTTGAAATTGTTTATTTACATAAAGAGATTTAAAATTGTAAAGCCAGGGAAACTAGCACAGTTATTTTAAATAAAGCTGAATCTACTACCTCTGCTTGTGAGGGTGGAAATAAAAAATTAGTAAAGGAAAATATACAATTAATCTCAGTGACATTTAGGGGTTCATGTTCCTTCTTTTTTCCATACTGTAGTACATGTCTTGATCCCTACATTTGGAACCTCAAAATCGTCAGAAAGGGAGTGCCGTTTGCACGTTACAGATAGCTACAGACTGCTTCAGGCTGCAAGGGTGACAGCTCTATTTGATTTGGCTGAGACTTCATTTCTTTACCAAGGGTTTAGCGGCAATGATTGTATTAAGTTGCTCCAGTGTTCCCTTGTTGAGATGGCTCACTTATTAAAGTTTGATATCCACAAGGGATTTGTTCTTCTCTGCATATAACTTGCTTCCTTTTCGTGTATCTGAGCTTGGGACTTTCCTGGTTGAATTTCGAAAATAAAGATGTACAGATGCTCATGGCAACATCCAAAAAAGGACTTAGATGCCTGGCCCTATGAACAGAATCAGAAACCTAAAATTAGGTACTAGGACACTTGAAAAGGGCAGTACAAAAAAAAAAAAGTTTTGTGATCAGCCTTTGAAATAAGTCTCCCTATGAGGTTCAGTGATTTTTATTTCACACTGTCACTCAGTTTTTGCTTTTTCCTAAAATTCATAATGCACTTGGAGACTTATGCTCCCTGCAGCAGACAAGATAACAAGAGAGGCAAGCAATTTCAAACAAAGCCTTTTCACAAAATCTCCAAATTGCCTGTCAGTCTTGACAAAACAACATAGAGAATCAACCTTTGTTCAAAATAGATTAGTCATTCTTTTTATTCACTCTTACTGTAATAAACAGTGTGTGACTGGACCAGAAAATGGGAGGACTTTTTCTTGAAGTCAGAATCTACAGCGTGCCTGAAAAATGCCTCTATGTCTAAAATATGTAAAGCTCCTACGTTAAACCTCAAATTACCCTTTAGTCAGCATTCATTTTTTGAGTTAAATGCCAACCAGGTGTTTGTTTCTAGAGCAGTTCTTCATTCTTAAATGTTTCCATTTTCAGGGAGTAGTAATTTCTAGTTGTCCCCAAGGGTCCTTACCAGTTTCGTAGAAGGTCGTTTCCAATGGAGTTTTCTGAATCTTTTCCTAGTTTTCAGTGTTTTGGCACCTAAAATAACAGGAAGGAATAGAAGGTAGTTGGGACAGTGGTTCCTTTACATAGACTTGTTTCAGTTTGGACCTGTGGAAGCAGCTGTGCATAGACCAAAAGACAGTGATTTTTAGAGGATCTCTTGGGCTTGAGATGCTGAGAGGCAAATATTAGAAGTATTATTCTCCAGAGAGAATATGTTCTGAGAAATTAGGTACAGGTTAATAATCATGGGAACACCATCTCAGTTAGTACATCCACTAGTGGGGCTTTAGGAAACCTTAACTGTATGGATGTACTAAAAACTTGAAGCAGTAAAAATTTGTGAGCAAAGCTATTGAGGTATTCTAAACACCAGGCAAAATACTGTATTTTCTCTCATACAACAAACCCTGGACTAAGATATGCACCTTATTTTTGAAACGCAGAATCAAGGGGGAAAAGATCTTTTCTTGTCGTGAGGGAGTGAGTAGCAGCAGCTAGGGGGCTGAGCCTGCTCACAGTTCTGCTCCCCACGGATCATAGGCAGATTTTACTTGTATTTTTGCCCAGCGAACAGCAGAAACTGCGTACTGTATGCGAGACAACGTGATACATGTCAAATGACACAACAGTATTTGCTTACTAAACCAGCCACACTTTCAACCCACCCTTGAACTACAGGTTTGAATAAGAAAATTATGTTATTTTAATATTAAAAAATCTAGTTCAGTACATAATAGAAACTTGCTCTGGTTTAACTTGTTTTTAATTTTATGTTTGTAATATAGGTTATCAGAGGATTGCTCAAATTTTGGCCAAAAACTTGCAGTCAGAAAGAGGTTGGTTTTGTTACTTGTGTGTTAACAAATCATTCTCCTGTACTGATATAAAACGTAGTGCTGCAGGTTCAAGTGCTTTACCCCAGGTGCTTTTTCTGGGATCTTGGAGGATTCTTTCTGGTTCTGGAGGATTTCTCAGGGCACTGGTACACCGTGTGCAAATTGTGCATATGTAGTTACTACTTTGTGTTAAATTTGACAGTGTTGTTAATTGGTAAAAAGTTATTGTATATGTTTATCAGTACAGAATTCTAGGATACATACTATCATTTGGAGCAGTATTTTGTTTAAGTCTTGTTTACATGGAAGGCATCATGACTCTTTTTCCTAAGGAAATATGAAAGCTTAATAAAAATACTTTATTGGTTAGGATAAATGCAGTCCATCTGCACTGTGCTGACTTTGAACACTGAAAGTTGATAAAGTTTTAGTCAGTGGCTGAAACTTTAAATAAAATATATGTCACTATTAACAAAAATTCTACTTAGTATTTTTTGTATAGTACAATAGTATATATAATTCTTAAAATGTACTTATTTCATATGCTGAAATTACTTAGAAAATGGTCTTGTAAAATCCACTTCTGTGATTTGACTATATCCCATGTTATTAAATGTAAGCTAACTGGGAGTTTGGTAGCTTCATTTGCCAGCAAACCCTTCTATAAAAGTGTTATTCTTTAAGACTTCTGTAATGTCAGCCACCTTGGATTTTCTTGTACCATCTGTATGTTATAGTCAAGGCAATTTAAAACTGAAATGAAGCATTTGTAGTTTGAGAGGTTACTGTAGAGGGTATCTCAGACAAAGAGAATTCAGAATGATCCTTTGAGGCCCCTTCTGAAGAAATGTAAAATATGCTGGATTTATTTTTTTAACCTTCAAAACACGATTATAAAATAATGACTTTAAAGTTTTAAAAGCAGCTATTCAGAAGAGGAAATCCAAGATGGTTGCTGTATTCCTGGCAACTAAAACATTAAGTAACACCCCTTTCCAAAAGTGTAAGCTAAGAAAAATTACAAATTGAAATAAAATACCTTCTGGAAATGTAATAATGTACCACAGTCTTTGCAACATGCTTGACTTTGGGTACATTGCTTTAGTACTTTTTTCAGTTGGCATCCTCAGTCTAGCCATACTATAAACCAGTGGTTCCCAACCTTTTTTTCCCCATGACCCGCTGCTAGGAGCGGAGTGCAGCAGCAGCAGCTCGGGGCAGGGGTGGGGGAGCTGCTGGCACACGGCACAGCATAGCTTATCTTTTGTGTGTGGTGCCGCCTGCATTGCCTGCACAATCCTCATTTGGGTCGCGACCTGGGGTTGGGAACTGCTGCTATAGATGCAAAAAAATTCTATGGTTCTTCTAAATTATATATATAAATATAAAAGCCTTTCTTTATAAACAGGTAATGTTTTTAGGTGAAATTGAAGAAATCTTAGATGTAATAGAACCAACCCAGTTCAAAAAAATAGAAGAGCCTCTATTTAAACAGATATCCAAGTGCGTGTCAAGTTCACATTTTCAGGTATGAAATGGCATTTTTAGTAGTATTGCAAATGTGATGTTTAAGTTAGCTAGTACTAGCTGATTTTGTGGTTCTGATTCTGAAATGTGTATTTCAGGTTGCAGAAAGGGCTTTGTACTTCTGGAATAATGAGTACATTCTTAGTCTGATTGAGGAGAACATTGACAAAATTCTACCAATTATGTTTGGTAGTTTATACAAGATCTCCAAAGAACACTGGAATCCGTATGTACAGCTATTTAATTATTTATTTATTAGTATTATCAGTAATGAATTCCCATTAATTTACTTTTGTTTCTTGGGCTTGGTTCCTGCAGCCCTTTGCAGACAGGCTTAAATTAACTTAGGTAAAAAATATAACTGATCTAGATCCTCTTCTACCTCTACCTCTTATACACTTTCCTTATCTTTCACACAAATAAGTAGCCAGTTGTAGTAGGAACATGCCTTGCAGTTATTTGAATGAAGGAAATGGATTTGCTTCATAGCTACATTATGCTGCAGCTGTCTTGGACTCATTTATTAGGAATTGAAATTGGCTGGGTAAAATATCTAAGGATGGTGTTGTGGTTTCTAAATCCATCTGCTCTTCCAGATCTGTTTAAAAAATTAGCTAGCAATAGACTTGTAGGAAGGTTGCAATGTCGTACTGCATCAGAATCCAAATAAAGTACCATGAGCCACAGTACTGTAGCAACATCTATATCAATAAATGTATCCTTGTCCAACAAATTAGGGAAGAAAAAGATTAAGCAATAAAAAAATGCACATCACATGGTGCCCACCATCCATGGTACAAAAGGTTAAAATGACTGTTGAATGTGCATGAACTCAAATGGTAAATCATGATTCCTATTGTGTGAAAAATCCCCAAGATAAGGTGGTGTATGTTTTTCAGTGACTAAAGTTTTAGAATGAAAAGATTATATATTCCCTGATCTAGAAATAATATTTATTCAGTGTTTCCATGTTTTTAAGTATCTTATTATGAAGATTTACTAAAAACGCACTTTGATCATTGCACAAGTAGGAAGCTGATCTGCTTGTCACTTTTATATACTGTATATACCCAAATCCACGACAACTTCAAATTTAAGGTGACCCCTCCCTCCCCTGCAGTATTTTGATTCTTTACATGGAGAATGCATAGATTTTTTTATAACCTTCCATGTAAAGAATCTAATTATTGGAGCGTCATCTTAAATTTGTTCCCCCTACCACAGCAACAGCAAGGGGGCTGGTGGCAAGGGAGTTGAGCAGGCATGCCCTGTTTGTCACTTCCCAAAGGTGGACAATGGATAGACGCAGGAAAAACTTGTCATATCTTTAATGTCTTTCCTTTCCAAATTTTTATTTTTTTTTTTACTTTAAAATGATTTTAAGTGCCAAGTGAATGGCACTCTACAGTCGAACACAAGATTCTTCCCCAGAATGTACAGTCCAAATTGGAACATGCCTTCTTGACTATGGAGGGGAACACTATGATAAGTGTTACAACAACAGGATCATCTAGGGTGTTTATACACATGCTTTGTGGCAGAGGAGGGCGGTGCTTTATTTTAGTGCAGCTCCAAGAACTGTTCTAATTAAAGTGTCTGGAGCATCACGTGTATAGGGCATCCCTGTGCTGAAAAACGGTGCTGGGGGCACTTTAACTAAAGCATGTCAGACAAGCTTTAGTTAAAGTGCCCCCACCACCATTTTTCAGCATGGGGACGCTGATGCATGTAATGCTGGAGTCTGCTGGAGCGCGGTAATTACCACGCCCTTGTATAGGTGCCTAGATTGGCAGTCTACAACTTGTGGTTCACAATCAACATGTTGCCCATGAGACCATCTGGCATTTGTAGCCACAGAAAACTGCTTTTTACAGTTGCATGTTCCTTCAGGTTCATAAGAAGAATAAGGTATAATGTTGAGCTGCTGAGTGTGGTTACCCCTGGGCCAGCAAGGCTTGAAGGGATTGCTGAGTCAGATGGTTAGATCTAATACATTCACCCTGGAGGCCCTAAGTCTCCAACTTTTCTATAGCTTGATTTAATTCTACTCAGAAAATAACTAGTAGTTTATTTGGAGGAGTGGTAACTTCACTTTCAGGTGTAATGCCTAGAGTTAATTTTTTAGGAGGAAGTTAAAGGTAAAGTCTTAATATATCAGAATACCATGCTTGATTAAGAGCACTTTTAACCTAGAGGAATATACAGGTTTCCCTCACTAAATGCTGGGGTTAGGTTGCTGAAATTTCCCATAGTTGGCAAAACTGTGGTTGGCAAGACAAAAGGCGTATGGGGAAAATGGCAGGTGGCGGCCTGATGCGTGGCCACAGAAAACTGTGGTTACTCAAAAATGTATACTGTGGTAGCCAAAATGGTATATAGAATATTAAGCATGGATACTCAAAACTGTGGTTGGCGAGGGAAACCTGTAATTCAAACTTGGAATACAACAGACACGTAAGAAAATGCTTTACAGGTTTTTCAGGCTTGTGTTGATGTGGGCTATGTTGACCCAGTTCATAGAACAGTAGAAAATGAGGGTTGGAAGGGACCTCGGGATGCCATCTAGTCCAATCCCTTGCTCAAAGCAGGGCCATCTCCACCTAGGTCATTCTAGACAAGGCTTTGTCAATCTAGGCCTTAAAAACCTCCCAAGGATGGGGATGCCACCACCTCTCTTGGTAGCCTGTTCCAGTGCTTCACCACCCTCTTAGTGAGAGAGTTTTTCCTAATACCCAACTTAAACCTTGGTTGCTGCAACCTGAAACCATTGCACCTTGTTCTGTCATCTTCCACCACTGAGAACAGCCTGGCTCCATCCTCTTTGCAACCCCCCTTCAAGTAGTTGAAGGCTGCTATCAAATCCCCCCTCAGTCTTCTGTTCTGCAGACTAAGTAAGCCCAGTTCCCTCAGCCTGTCCTCAGAAGACATGTGCCCCAGACCCCTGAACCATTTTTGTTGCCCTCCGCTGGACTCTCTGACTTGCCCACATCCTTTCTATAGTGGGGACCCAAAACTGGACACAGTACTCTAGATGTGGCCTCATCTGTGCAGAATAGAGCAGAATAATTACATCCCTTGGTGTGCTGGCAACACTCCTACTAAGCAGCCCAGTGTGCTGTTAGCCTTCTTGACAACAATGGCACACTGCCCACCTGCAGTACTCTGTGCCCTGCCCACGGTATTCTGGGCCGGTGTCCATGGAGACCCTGTCCATGTGCTTACTCTGTTTGACACCCGTGGACCTGTCTAATCACCTACCACTAAGGGAGTTTTGGCGAGCTGTTGCGGGCGGGTGGGGGGGGGGCTGATCCAGCTCAAAACAGCTCAGCAAAACTCCTGAATGGCCTCCCAGCCAAAATAATTTCCTGCCCATGCTTTAATCAGATCTGAATGTTTTGCTACCTCATGGCATATAAACATTTAAAAAATCACTTGCTGTGATTGGGGCATATGAAGTCTTCCTTTTTTATTAACTTTATAAATGAAGGCCAGGAGTCCATGTATTCCATTTCTATTTAAAGAATCGTTTATGCATAGGAGAAACCAGACTAAACACCATTTGCTTTTAAATCTCATTAGAGTTATAACACAGCCTCAAATACAGTAAGACTGGAACCCAGTATCAAGGTCAGACACTTAACACGTGCTAGGAAACAACTATCATCTCCAGTAATTTGCAGCGTTTTCCTTTTGTTATAGGACCATTGTAGCGCTGGTGTATAATGTGCTGAAAACGTTGATGGAAATGAATGGCAAGCTATTTGATGAACTTACAAGCACATACAAAGCAGAAAGGCAAAGGTATTCAACTTAGTTTAAGTGCATGTATTCAGAACGTTTGGAATGCCATCTGTAAAAATAAATACACACATACATACATAAAATAGTGAGCAGCGTATGTGCTGGTGCATTGGAAGCTTTATGATGAAACACTTCTTTAGTAGACTTGCAGTCAAACTGATTTATTAAAGATTTGGAATATTTTTAAAGTAGCTTGAGAGCTGGGGAATGGGCGTGACTATATTTATTTGAAAGGTATGTGGAGAGATAAGATTGTCAGAGAATTGGTAAAGCAATGCTTTGCATACTCCATTGTCAGATACTCAGTCTCATGACCCTTCTGCATTCATGAATTTGATTTCCCCCTATTCCTTCCCCCCCTCCCGTTTCTAGATTTCTCACTTTGACTTTTTTTTTTTGCTAAAAACAAAGAAAATTTAGAATGCGTTTTTCTAGAAATACATTTCCTCAAATGAGCCAGCCTTTCTAAGCAGCTGATGCCACACTTGTCATTCAGTACCAAGAGGCTGGACCATCTGTATTCAGCATTGGAAAAATACTGCCCCAGTCTCACCTCCGCCCCGCCCCGC